TTCATTGTGAGGAGTGGCAGCTGAGCAAGGATGCCCAGGGCGTGGCTTGTCGTGCACTTCACTTTCGCCACTGTTGAAACGCACTACCCACCGCCTCACTGTGCTGACTTCCACTGTATTGTCTCAGTAGTCCTTTCGCAAGTGTCGATGGATGTCAGTGGGTACAATTTGTTCGGCAGTGAGAAATTCAATAACACATCTGCGTTTCATACGCACGTCTATGTCAGACACCATTTTTGTAGACTGCTCTGCTGTTGCTATCTGTCGCACGACAACCAAACTAACAGTAGATTGGCGGGAAGGTTCAACCTTTACTACAACACCACCAACATCCATCTCAGATGTTACATATTAACACAAAAAAATAGGAGGCATTATTTATGGAACGCCCCTAGTATATGTGAAGATTATTTGGAAAATAACATCCGGTGAGCTGTTAACAAAATAAGCAATGAAAAAAAAATTGTATTAATGGTATCCCTGTAACAGGCTGTAGAGGCCCATAAGGTTGTGAGATGTTGAGGTTCCCACATTTTGTAGACAGTTGACTCATAGATGGCAGTAAGGTTGTCAACCTTACGCGCTGGCCCCCCTTTACCCCCAGGAATATTCCTGGTACTCATTTCTATTTGTATTATATACAAAAAGTACATGCATACTTAAGATACTGTTCAATATAATCACTGCTGGAATTGAAGCACATGTCATATCAGGGAATAAGTTTTTGTATGCATGTGTCAAAGAACTTTGCTGTCTTTGAGCTCAGCCATGTTTTGACACCTTCCATAAACTCACTACTGTTGAAGTGCTGTAATCTCAACCAGTTCTTCAGGTAGGTAAACAGGTGGTAGTTGCTTGGAGCAAGATCAGGGCTGTGAGAAGGGTGGTCAGACAACTCCCAGGTGAAATGCTCCAACAGTGCTCAGTGTGAGCAGCTGTATGTGAATGTGTATTATCATGAAGGAGCACTACACCAGATTTCAGCCTTCCACGCTTTTTGTTCTGAATGGTCTTATGCAGTTTTTAATATTTTGCAGTACACTTCTGATGTTATCATGGTCCCTTGTTGCATGAATTCCACCATCAGCACTCCTTTCCTGTCCCAGAAAACAGTTACCATCATCTTTCCAGTAGGCAGACAATGTTTGTTTAAACTTTCTCGGTCTGTTTGGTAAATTGATGTGCATCCACTGCTTTGACTGCTCTTTGGTTTTAACATTCACAAATGAAACACAGGTTTCATCGCCTGTTATTCATACAGCGTGATCGAGAAATTTATCATCTTTGTGGTATCACTCAAAAAAATTGAAAGCCATAGCCATTCTCTGCATTTTGTGTGAACCTGTCAGAATTTTCAGAACCCATGTTGCACAAAACTTGTGATAGCCCAGCCTGTGATAATCTCATAGAGTTACGGTGCGTGGAATTTGTGGAAATTCACATGAAAGTTTTGAAGTTGTGAAGCACCATCTTCCAAAAATATTTGGTCATCACTCTTTACAGATGGCTTGACCATATCACTTCTTTTCATGAACATTTGTTCGCCAATATTTGAACATTCTACATCATTGTCCTGCAGTCCCTTCCCTCGTTACATTTTGGCCATAAACCACACATAATTCATGATGGATTTTCACAGCACTCATGTTGTTAGCATGAAGAAAGTGGATGACAGCATGAATTTCACAGCTGATGGACTTATCAGTCGCAGGACACATCATATTACTTCTGTAGAGACAAGAACTAGTACTAGGTGACCAGTTATATGATTGTTTATATAAGAGCATGAGTCATGTGAAGCTACCTTGCTTATATGAGTTCTCCCCTGCTCCTACATGAGTTGCCTAAAATAAATGGAGGTTACTTTCTGAATAGCTCTTGTAAATGCCCTTCTGTCAGCTTCCATTTTGTAGTATAGAATTACATATGTAGTATATATTTGCATCTTCCGTTATTTAGGAAGATGACAGAAAGATAAAAGATAGTGAACTAAATGGGTACGTGCATTTTATAAGTTTCCTGTGCATATTTTATATCATGCATGTCAGTTTTAGTGTTACTTCCACAGTCCTTGCATTAAAAAAAATTAAGCCTACTTGATGTACTTCTACATCTCAAGTATTACTCCATACCATTAGTTGATTTCATAGAGCAGAGACGTTTTTAGAAACTACTAATTAGTAATGAAATTCCCAATTGTCTGCAGAACTGAAAGTTTCATTACTGTATTCTCAAGAGTACATCATTGGATCCTGTCCACAGCCAAGAGAATCCATTCTACACCACACCTTGATTTTTTTAGGATCCATTTTAATTAATTATGGAGCCAGGATAACTTTGTCAGTGTAGTAGTGGGCTGAATGAGTGAGGAATTGAGGTGCTATTCCCAAACAGCAAAAGATTTTTCTCTTCTCCACAGTGTCCATACTGGCTCTGGGGCTCACTTCCTATCCAGTGGGTACCAGGGTAAAGCAGCCAGGTTGTGAAGATGACCAGTCACCTCCATCTAGTGCCGAGGTTAAGAATACATGGATCTATACCCCCATTACCCATCTTCATGGCGTGGTGCCCCTAATTAAGTAAGCACAGGGAAAAATATCCTCCCATCTACAGCTAGGTCTCCCAAATGATTTCTTCTTTCAGATTTTCCCCACAGATAAGTTTCACAGCAAACATCAGATATATTAAAATACAAATTACTACTGTTTGTTTTAACCATATTGGCAATTGAATGTGTTTAAAGACAATAGTGTGATTATTTCTATTTACATCTTAATAAGTAGTAATTTTTTTATTTTAGCATCCTGTTGTGTTTAATACATAATACCATCACACAACTACCTAGTATTAATAATGTTTATATTCTTACATACTACATGTTTGACCCTATATCTGGGTCAACTTCAGATGGTATACATGCTTAAGCATCAGTCATCTGAATCGTAATTCCATACATTTTAGTAGAACTTGGCTCCATTGTTCATAAGTAATATCCAACTGGATATCTATCATATGGTCAAGTAGTGAAATGTAAAAATAAAGATGTGAGAATATGCTGGCAATAAAATTGGCCAAGATGTACAAGTATGTAAGTGTACATGTGTGTATTTTATATATGCATATTATTGGTTTTTAGTTGATTTCCTGTTTAGTTGGGTTAAAATTGTTTTTAGAATTAAAATATTGAAATAACTTTAAAGTAACATGTAGGCACATTATGCTTAACTGTTGTCATTGTAGTTGTAGTATAACATGCCTGATGGTGTTTGTTGCAAGTTGTTATATTTGGGTGCTGACTTTTTGAAACTTTTCTGTTTGAAGTAATGTACACTTGATTATCCTTTATGGTAGATTTATTAGGACTGTGTGTTTGTATGTGGTAAATTCTGTGGTAGGATTCCTTTGTAGGACTATTCTCGTATGTTGTGTTACCTCTTAAACATGTACTGTCCTGTAGTTTCTTGATGTTTCGAACTGTAGTTGCATGTAATGTATGTAGGATTTGAGGTTCTCACAGTGGTGGTTATGAAGAGTTCTACCTTCTGGGATATGATGCCATGTAGTTCACTGAACGTCAACCAACATTTCAGAGGAACATGTCACCTCCGAAACATTGGATGACTCTCAACGGACTTTGTGTTATATCCCGGAAGGCAGAACTCTTACATAATGTAGTTTGCTTGTTATGTGGTGCAGAAATTTTAACCAAACTGCACTGGAAATTAACATGAAACTAACAATATATGCACACAAAATATGAACCACATCTCTACGTATGTACATCCTGCCCACATTCTGAAACTTACATTAAGTAAGTTATGGTAAAGTTGTCCCTGTGCTTAACTAATTAAGCACTATGCCATGAAGGCTTATGGGGGAGTGGATATATAGATTCACATTTTCTTGATCTCGGCACTAGTTGGAGGTGATTGGTCAGCTTCGTGCCCCAGCCGCTTTACCCCTGGAGAAAGAGCCCCCCCAGTACCCATTGGATAGGTTGGGTGAAGCCTAGAGCTGGTCTGGACGACTTGGAGAAGAGAAAATTTTTGACCCTACTGAAACTTGAACTCCAACCTCTCGGTCGTCCAGCTTGTAGCTAGTCACTATACCGACTACACTATCCCTGATCCCACCTACATTATGTTACAACTGAATATTTTTCCCCCCCTGTAACATTTTCACATTTATACTTGTATGTTGCACTGTTTGACCATATGATGGATATCCAGTTGGATAATATTTAGGAACAGGGGCCCCATGTGCCATTAAAATGTATGACATGATAATTCAGATGAATGATGTTTACCTTCAGAAGGTGACTCAGAAATGGGCCGAAAGGTAGTGGTCAGAATAAAACACTCTTAATACTAATAAGTTTTGGTGATGGCCTTATTAAGAATTATACAGTAGTAACTTTAATATGGGCAAAATATGTGGTCAGATTATTATATAATGTTATGAGCAGTAGTTACGAGTATGTAGGATTAACAGTTGTCTTGAGTTTCATAATGATCTCACGTTAAGAACATTACCATATTTTGTTATGTGATGCAATGTACTCCGGTAGATGACTTTAGGTTAGCATATCTGTGGCTTGAGGTGGAAGCGGGTTATTAAGTATTCCTCAAGGATTTACCTTAAGAAATGGCTTGAAACGAAAACATTAGGCGGCAGCTATACGAGTAAGGACGGGGGACAGGCTGTACGAGCCTTTCGAACGCATGAAAGGCGTGACGAGGAGATATGCTGCCCGTAAAGTTATTTTTGGTTACCAGAGGCGCGTCAGGGTACTTGATTGCATCAAGGTTAACGTTTTAAATTGAACTGACAACAAAGCTGAATTGCAGTCGTCAGTTCAGTACCGACCATTTTTGCTTCCCAAACATATCGCATATTCTTTTAAGAATGTCAAATCAATAGCAGTATGTTATTCATGAACTGGTATATACGCGCCTGTATACGTATGTACTTCGTGAACGGAACCAAAGACGAGGGAACAAATGCCGATATGTCGTTGTCATTAGGACATTAGGAAATATTGTCAGTGTGGAATAATAAACAGACATTGAAGTAGGGATGGTAGGGACTTTGTGTTGCGGTATTGTGATATACGGCAATGGTGCAAGGAAGTAATGCTGTTCTTTTCCAAGATGCTGCTGTGAAAGTAACCGATGTAAAAGTATTATCGGGAGATGGCATAATTCCAAGTATAATCTCATCTCTGCTAGAATAAGCTATTATAGATTACAGTGTCCACATCTGAATGGGCAGTAAACACGGTGCGAAGTGCGTGTGTAAAGAGCAGGGTCTTAATTGGTTTTGTGAGTTCCCGTAACGAATAGTAACATAATTTGAGGTTAAAGATTTGGGTTTGTGGTGGCGAAACAAATATAACGGAGAATATGTGACTCAAAAAGTTTAAGAAAAATAATTAGTGATTAACTGATTTCGATTCGTGTTGCTGAAACGAAAGAATATCATGGATATAAAAGTTTTACACAAAAGCAGTACATTCAGTTCTTTCACAAGTAGTGGCCATAAAATTGGCAGTTGGTTTGCTACCTTCGGTGATCGGCGGAGGAAAAATTCCATGAAAGCGTCAAAAAGCCTTACTTTAGGTAAGGAAGTAGACAGTTCGGTTGAAGCAGCGCTGCAAAATTGCACACAGCCTTTAATAATTTCATTCTACTGTCACCATACCTTTTCCAGTCATTACAGTCGTCACATTCATTGTAATGGAATTGCCAGATCCAGTAGATTTTAATTTGTAATTTTATTTAATTTACTGGCAGGTATTAATGTTTCAAAGCATAACATAATTTCTCTAAAGTTACTTTGTTGTTGTTCCTTAGTAAGACACAGCATGGCATGGTAGGAGAGCCCCAATATTTGACAAGTTTTGCAATTTTTTCTTTTCTTTTCTTTTGTACATGTTATTTATAACGGAATTATTTCTATACACTGACATAACATGTTAACTTGAACATTTATCGTGGCTGTAAGATTAGTGGAGGCTGATAGGCCTTCATCTCTTAACAGCAATGGGTAATACTTAACAAATAACAGAGTAAATTTGAGATTGAGGTCCTCTTGTTTATGACATTCTGTAGTCTTGTAGGCAGATACTGATGTGTCAGAGGAACATGCCCCAGTGTAGAGTGTTGAAGTATGTAGGGTGAGGAATTGGTTCAGTTATGTAGTCATCATGCAAGGGAGTTGATTGGTAAGATCAGAGAGAGGAGTATTAATATAGGAGCGTGGTCCAGACCAAAGGAACAGTGGAGTGTAAACTGTTTCATGTCTAGGGCCTCATTTGTGTGTGTGTGGGGGGGGGCTGGCGGGGGGGAGGGCATGTGAGAAAATTGAATTAGAAAATATGACCATTTTCAGGGGGACACTATCATTTTGTCACAGGAAAGAAAGCAGGTCATGAAACTTCTGCTACCAGAATAAAAAGAAGATAGGACACAGTTATTTCTTCCTGTCATATCTTTCCTCTATCCAGACTTTAAAAAAATCAGATTTCTCACCTACTTTTCACACAAGGGCAGACTTTTTCCCCATCTCATTATTCCATTTCCCTCCCATGAGGAAAACAGGGGATCCAGAAAAAGGCCTGTTTTTCCTCACTGTTCAGTGATAGAAGGCATGTTAGAACCCTGGAAAGGGCCACTTTCTTTCTCATTATTCCCACTGGCCCAGGTGAGCCCCCCCCCCTTTTTAATGCAGGTCTGAGTGACTGCCTTTCTTTCAGTGTACCTGTATAACCAAACCAATTTTTCACCGTGTACACTTTAACTCAATAACCTGGCCCCTTCGCTTCCCAGACTTGACTTCCTGGATTTCTTTCTCTGGGGGTACATGCAAAGCCTGGTGTATGAGACTCCAGTGGAGACACAACATGATCTTGTGGCAAGAATTGCAGTAGCAGCTGGAGCCATCCGGGAAATGCCGGGAATCTTTCAGAGAGCTCAGCAGAAAATAGCCAGGTGTTGCAGAACATGCAGTGAAGTCGGTGGCTGCCATTTTGAGCAGTTTTTGTAATGTAAAACAACGATAATATCCCCTAAAACTTGTGTATCCTCTTGGAAAATTTGTGACTCTTAGCGCCAAAAGGAAGCATTTCTGGGCATGGGTTTATTGACAAAATATGATCAAATTGAGCCCATCTATCTATCTACCAAAGAGTGTTGTAACATATTTATTTACACCCGGTATAGTCAACTGCAAGAATGTGATTGCAAGATATGTTTATAGTTTTGTTACTTACTAAATGACACCAGATGCATGGGTGAAGCAACATTGAATGATAAAATATTTGAATGATTATGGGTGGGGAATGGGAACAGATGTGGAGGGAATTTGTTATGGACTACTTTTAAGATAGTGGGATTTGTCAGGTAGGACTGAAGAAAACACAAAAAGTCTATCAGAATAGGCTGTGTGCAGACTTAGACTCAAACTCATGACTATCTAAATATAAGCAGACTTTGTTCTTGTGAAGAAATGTGTCACGATACTTTGGATATTGGTTCTAAACAGCTTGAAAGAAAGGTTTTATTGTGTGAAAGGTATTGTGTGGTAGTGCTTTGTGGTAAGGAATTTGTATAATTATGAACAGCATCTCCAACACAGAGAAGTACTTTTTTACTAGTGTATAATAATTAACACTTCTACTTTGACAGATTAGGCTGTCTGGCCTGTTCTCATTCAGAATTAATTCTGAAACTATGAATCTTTATAGACAGTCCATAGGACTCCTTGGATGTGTGATCAGCCCATTGCAGAGCTGGTACCTTCATTGGACAACACAAATACAGTATAAACATGGACATCCATGCCTTGAGTGGGATTTGAACCTATGATCCCAATGCTTGAGCAGGCAGTGACATTTCATCCCTTAGACTGCACAGCCACTACGATAAACTAATAACTAAGTCTCGTGTAACAAAACTTGGATGTACAGCGCTGCTGATGTTATGCTTGAATGTTGAGCTGTGCTGATATTAAAACCTGCCATTGGATATGGTTCACTTCCTTCAACTTGCCTTTCTCACAACTTCCTTATGATTCCTCTTAAAACTATTCTCCTTCTGAGTGGCCAGTTTGCATTAGCTTTCCTTACCAGATTCTGTATGCATTCCTTACATTCTTCATCTGCTGTTGCGTAATGCTTAATACAAAGTCTTATGCTGTTGTCTGGCACAACATTTCAGAAATTGACTGATTACGTTACATGTGAAACAAATTAAACAAAGAGTCATGCTGTATTCAGTGGCGTGGAGTGTAACTGTCATTCACTTACTTTCATGTACATCATAAAATGCTAAATCTGGCACTTTAAAATCTGAACGTACACAACATTTTTACTTCAAATCCTTTGCAGTTCATTATTCACTATTGTGCAATCATTTTACACCATATAATCAGATTTACTGACAGCGTCATTAAATAAACTAAAACTGCACATAAGACACAGCTTGAAATATTCTTATAAAACATTAACTTTACAAAGTAATACAAAAAAGAGTGGATTCTTGATTTACATTATTCTGCAATTCAGTAATTCAAGTAACTAGTGACCTGTCTGTTAATTAACTTTATTTCAGAGGTTTCCAAAGTTCACTTCTCTCCCAAGTTCATAGCAGAACGAGACATGCAAACTGGTAACTGACAGGTTATATTAGAAATCTTTAAAATGTTTCTATATTGGTACATATTAGTTACTAGACGTGGATCACATTGATAATTAGATTTATTGGACAATGAATTCTGTTACAGAGTATACAAGTATTCACTCTCATTTTGTAATCTGTTATATATCACATGCTTGCTGGCCCTGCCATCACAGACTTATTTCTAGGCTTTGGGCTTTGATAACAGAGTCCGTTCTGTCAGCTTGTAGGCCCAATGTATATGGCTTTGTTGTGGTATGATCAGAAAACACTGCCCCCAACAGCCTTGCTTTTGTTCATCACTGTTGGATTGGTTATTGTATACATATGTGGCTGTTGGTGATTCATGCTTGATTTTACCTGGCAATGGATGCCTCTGCAACATTTCTCTGACTCCAAGATTCTGGTTTTTAGGCATCATATCACAGTATTTAATTTGTGAGCTTTGTTTGTGATGTTTGAATGAGAAACTTTAATTGGAAAGAGTGAAGTCTGCATAGCAGTGTTTTTTTAAGTGTGCAGTTATGCAATGTTGCTAATTAGAGACTCCACATAAGAATGAAATATCTCATTTCTATAATGGCATGCATTGGTAGAAAAATTGTGGTTCTGTATTTTTTGTAATATATTTTATTTTTAGAGTACGTTTAACAGGATATCACTCGTCCATGTTCCTGCTATTTTTACTTGGAAAATTAAAAACTAAACTGTCTGAATGTATTGCTGGATTGATGGAAATAATATAATTTGTTAATTGACATGAATTTGCAGGTGTGGTGCATGAAAATCCACGGATTGGTTCAGATGGGGAGTCAGAGGAGGCGTCTGGAGCATCTGATGAGGTAACCTCACCTGTGAAACTCCGGCCAAAGAACAGGAGACTTAGTGAGGTATTACACATATAGATTGAATTTATTAACTATTTCCATTGTTTAAATTAGTTATCTTCCTCAAAAATAGCAGGTACATCTGAATAACTAAGTAATTATGTTATTGATGATGTCAAGGCAGACATACTTTTCTTTTAAAACTAGTTATTTGTACCGTTTCACAAATTAAAATTATCTCTACATTACATACTGGAACCCATCAGGCTCTACTTTTTTTACTTACGTCCTACTTCTTAAAGCATATTGGTTAGCGTGACTGATAATAATGGGTTCTGGGTTTGATGATTGGTTTTATTAACACCTTCATTTACAATATGTATTAATCACAATCAGTTATAGCACTTGCTAATCTACCCGCTTCACAAATCGTCCTTGCACTCTTCTGGACTCTCCTGTCTTTGTACTCTCCACTGAACTCTCAGTTATTCTGGGAACTTCAGTGCATGTTGGTGGACTCCCAGTTCCAATTCTCTCTAATTCTCCAACTCGCAGCTCTCGTTATATAGTTGCTGCAAGGACCACATACAAAACCTTTTCTATCAGAAAGTTCCTGGACTAGGTCAAGAAAGAAATGCTGGCTTAACTTGTTCAATATTGGCTGCCATCTCCTTCAGAATAGTCTCCTTGGTAATTTCCACTCTTCAGAAGCACCGTGGAAGTCAGTTTCATAAATGCTGTCAAGTGCCACTTGCAACTCCCTTTAGATGTTGGACACGGTTTCAAAATGTCCCTTCAGTTTCATTTTCAATTTGGGAAATAAAGTGAAATCTCAAGGGGCTAAGTCCGGTGAGTAGGGAGGATGGGGAACAATAACCACGTTGTTGTTAGTCACAAACTCTGTGGTTTTCAGGGAAGTGTGGGTGGGTCCATTGTCATGATGAAGGAGCCAGTTGTGGTTGCACCAAAGTTCCGGTCTTTTTCATCTCACATTTTCTCTCAGCGTCTTAAAACATCACAGTAAAATTCAGAGTTGATTGTAGTGGTAAGAGGAACACATTCACGGTGAACAACCCTCTTCACATTAAAGAAAACAATGAGCATGTTCTTCGTTGAACTGTGGATCTGCCGCGCTTTTTTTGCTCTTGGTATTTTGGGCTCTTCCACTGTGGCAATTGTTGCTTTGTTTCTGGATTATAACCATCAGTCCAACTTTCATCACCCAGTATGATCCTAGAGATAAACGTTTTCTGTTGTTTTGCTGGTGCTTGGTTGTGCTGAACATTTATCATCTTCAGCTGACATTCGACCAGCTTTGAAACGTGAATGCTGTTCTAAAACCACTCTCCGAATTAAAGAATGTTCTCTAAAAGCCTCCCAAAATTTCAATGGTTTTGGTAGTGGATTTACCGAGCTTCTCACAAAACTTTATGCAGGCACATTGCTCGATTTTTGCCATCCATTGCAGACAAAACAAAACGTGAAGCTGAAAGAGCACTCATGTAAAATGATGCATGTTCACAGTGCAGTGTCACGTGGCAGACTGATTCAATAGGTTTGCAGAAGTGTGACCTTGGCCTCCCCTCTCATATTCTTTTTCCGAGGCAGTTACAACAATGAAAGCCTGGAACTTTCCGATAGACATGTTACCATGCTATTGTCTAGCAAACAGTCTTGGCGTGTATTGTTATAACAATGGACTCCCTATTGTTGTCATGCGCTTAAGGGGGGAGATGTTTACTGGCTGTTGCATAGAAACAGCAGTTCTTCTATTGTTGCTTGCATATTCTTTGTCACAATTTTTTTAACGACCTGTTGCCTAGCAATGGATCATATTACATTGCAGTATATATGCAATATATTGAAAGTATTGTAGTAATGAAAAAATTTATCTTGAGATTTGATTCATTTACACGTCTTCATCATCTCTGGATACAAAATAATAGAAATGTTAGAAAATATTGTGATGGTGGAAATAATCATATTTTTGCTTTTGATGTAGTTGCACACATTCAGCACCCCTGAATTAAAAAATTCTGGGTTTTGGAGTGTCATCTCTCCGTATCTGTGTGTCCCTCACTAGTGCCTGAACAGGAGGATGGATTTTATTCGTATTAGATATTCAAGAGTTCATCCATCACAGGCTAGTGCCCAGAGAATATGAACATTTCATCTCCAAAAGCAGTGCAGTGTCTTTGTTCCATTATTTTAATCTGTGCAGTACTGCAACAATTTCTAATTCCAGGAGAGGCTGTTACATTAAAATTGATTCTGAATGGTAGTTATAAATCGGATTTATTTCTAAATATTGAGGTCCTAGCCATAAATCAAAGATGTTGAGCAAGTTGGCTGAAGTGGTGGCTGTATTTGTACTTGTAACTTGTATTTGATGCCTCTTCTGATCTCATCCTGCTGCCATAACTGAGGTTTCTCATCATTTTAAGTTCCTCAAGGCAGATTCTGAGAAAGTACCTATAATTAGGCCATGAATGTTTCATTCAGTGTCCTTAACAGTTCATTATTCACTTATCCTACCATTTGATGTTATATAGTCTTGAGTTGCTGACAGTATTGTTATGTAAACCTTAAAAACATGTAATGAAGGCATTCATATTTCCTATTTACTGCCCCTACAGCAAGACATCAATAAACGTTTGTCACTGCCAGCTGATCTCCATCTACCTGAGTCATTTGTAGCAAAGCAGAATGCAAGTCTTAATATTGAGGGACCATTGAGTCGAGCCTCACGTCGACAGTCACTGTCAGAAATAGGTTTTGGCCGTATGGAAACCTATACCAAATTGGACAAACTTGGGCAGGTATGTGAGTAAAATTACAAAGATTAAATTAACATAACTGAACACTTCATGGTCAGTATTGAATAGAACCATCCATATTGCCACTTAAAAACAAATTGTTATCATGAACCACGATACAGTGTTCTTTTCCAGCCACATACAAAGCTTGGATTTTCAAGAATATTTTGAAAAAAAGTATTTTTGTGGCCAGTAAGGACCGAAACATATAAGGGACATAAGTTTACACGTAGTAAAAACTTATATGTCACATTGGATGGAGTGGTTTGTATTTATAAAAATTAGTCTTGTTTCAGGCATCCATTTTTCACTCTCATACTTGAAGAATTTTCTGAGAGATGCTTATGTGTTGTTTTTTTTTTCTGATGCTAGAAGCGATTCGTATTGCACTTGCCATTTGTCTGAATAGCAGATGAGGTCCCCTTTAGCCCCACCTTAAGAGTTACAAAATCACAGGTTATCATCAGATTGAATGCTAATCTGTTTTGAGCTTTTACCACGTGTATGCCAAAAGTTGTGCTATTTCATGCTGTGAGAAGAATAGCAAATGAGAAAGCAGAAGAGCCAGAAATGTGTTTCAAGGTCAGAAACCACAAGCTGGCATAAAATTGCCCAAAGTACCAGTGCTGGTTCACCAAATTATAATATCAAAAGATTCCTTACTGATGCCATTATCCCACACTATGGAAGTGGTATATCATGCCAAGAAAAGATGTAGTGGTATGAATGGGAATAATGTGTCAAAAAATATCAGGTGTGACAGTTTTATTTGGTACTTTAAGATTATGGTTATTAATCATGCAGCACAAGCAAACAGCTCAGAAGCAGTAAGAAAACAAAGACAAAAGTTCAAAAATGGGAACAGCATAAACTGTAACTGATGCCAGTTTTACACAGTGAGCAGCAGAAATGTAAGTCCAGCACAAGGTGGTCTGTACAAATTATGTAGAGGAACTGCTTTTCTTTACAGCATAGGTAACATGCTTTGAAGCAGTGGTGACAAAATGCTGTTGTATTTCAGTAGTCCAGCCCATTACACCACTTATGACATAGCTTGCAAAGTCAGTCAGCATGAAAACTTCAGGTAGTGAAAAGATGCAGTGACTGTAATGTTTACAGAGTTGGCAGGCATGAAACTACTACCATGGATGGATGACTGAATGAACTGATTGGGGGGGACTGGTTGAAAGTTGTCTGTAACAGGATACTCAGAGTATTGTTGTGAAAACAAGGAATGTTTATACTATATGTGCTTAAACGTCATTTGAAACTGGAGGTCAGATCTGTGATTCATGTGAGAAGTTATGTGGTTTGTGATGTTTCAGTAATCAAACAAAATTCCAGGAATGCAGATTCTTTTTATGTTAAGATATTACTATACTCAAAAGCTACATGCGACGCATAACTAAGACAGAAAATTCCAAAATTTACACTAGTCTTTGAGAGATACATTATGTTCATATAAGCTTGGTACATCTTGAGAATTTCTTCCTTATGTTAGTTCTTCTATGCGTGAATAGATAAAGTAATAACCATGCATCTTTATTACAACTATGGAGTATACGAGGGTCGATCAATAAGTACCCGTGTTTGAAGACAGGTGGCGTTGCTGAGGGAAGTTGGCTTTACCGTCGTGTACTGCCATCTGTCAAACGACCCCATACTAAATTTCAGACTGATTCATAGGTTAGTTTTTATTTGGCAGCCAGTTGCATCAGACGTGTTTTGTCTTTCTTGATACAATGGAGAAAGTGCAATATCGATCCGTAATTCGCTTTTTATTTTTGGATGGAAAAACATGCGAAGAAATAAAAGCGAAGTTGGATGCCGTCTATGGGGACCCTTCACCATCTATGACAACCGTG